CGAACAGCAAGCTATAAAGGGCCCCAAAAATAACTAGTGTAAAACCATTCAAATGGGAAAACCAACGGTCTAATCTATATAAAAAATGAGAAACGAGAAACACTTATGAACCACATCAACAAACGACAACTACTTAACATCAGATTCCTGACTTTGGACAGGTGCAAACAATTGCAGCGGGTTAAAACGTTTTAATGGTACCAAACCTTCACCCTTATCTGAAACAATAGTGTAACATCACAACATAAAAAGACACACTATAAATATCGTTTGAAATGGCCATTTTCTATTAGGTTTGTTTCTTAGATAGGAACAAACAATAACATGTGGAGCTCTGTATGGATAATATCTAGTTAGTACATTATTATTAATGTCCTTCTGTTACAATTTATGATGTGTTTTATTGAACTGATCAGAGGTATTCCTTATTAGTCACATGGTTTTTAATAAGTTTGGAGGACACTACTCATCTCACAATAAACCTTATGTGTGAAAATATTTAAAAGCCAATGAGCATTTTAGTATGACTAACAATTGATTATAATTGTATATTTTACTGATAGATGGACTTTGTTTTTTGCAATTATGGCGAAATAAATGAAACCTTTCCCCAGAATGAGTTCCTCTTTTGTCAGGCTATTTAATTTTTTGTAAGTTCACCTGTCCCATTTTATAAATACAATACAACAATTTCTTTTTTTTGAAAATCCAATCATAAATTGACTAATTTCGCTTGACCAAATATTTTACTCTTAGTAATGAAAATGCATGTACCAAATATAAAGCTAGATAATGACACCATATTGTCAGACTTTATGTCAATACACTACTGAATAACATATTTTCATTATTGTTTTTGGTCAGTACATGCATTATAAATTTAGGTATATGATTTTCGTGAGCATATTTATTCTTTACTTATTAGTGCCATACCTTCATTCCATGTAATTCCTGTGATGTAAATCTTTCTACAGTTTTATTATATCAATTTTAATAATTAATAATTTCAGTAAATTTATTACATTACAAGGATACAGAAAAAATTTATGTCTCTTAAACATGGAATTAAAGATTACCCTTAACAATGTATAAACTATCATATCAATGCTGTTGCTAATACACTTTATTTCCATATATATAAGTGTTGATAGATATGTATATATGTCTAATGTTTATTGTGATATTTTGGATTAGAAACCAATACAATATTCTTTTAGTTGATTGATGTTATATGGACTAAATTTAAGACAGGCTTAATGGCTTATAATTGGCACTTAGATATTAACATTGCCATCTTAACGTTTTTATTAGTTGAACTCAAATTAAAAAAATTGGAAGTCACAAATTTCCATAGGAACATAGCAAAGTTTTATTGAACAAATTGGAGAAAAAAAATATTTGTAAAAAATTATGAGAAAGTAAGTGGTGCATACTATGGTTTTAAAACTTGAGGCGGATATACCAAATTGCCAATGCAGTTATCAATTCCCTTATATATATATAATCCTCACTAAACAACAAATTACAACAATTACTGTATAAATGAATTAGTTGATATTCAGACTAAATACAGTTTTGTAGACACAATGTCCTTTTTTGTCAAGCCTGCGACTTCTGTCGCAGAAAGCTCAAATTGTTATTAAAGAAAAAAATAAATAAATAAATAAGTCTAAATGCCTTGAATAGATAAAATTAAATTGTTATTTATTAAAGTAAAAATAAGTCTAAATGTCACGTATAGATAAAGTTGTTATTAAGTACAAATAAGTCAATCAGTATATTGACCTTAAATTGTGTTCTTTTATTGTTTTTAAATTTTTTTATTGACTAGTTGAGACTTGAAAGGTGACTTAAAGTTCCCAATTAAATAATTTTTAAGATGATAAGGTATAAAGGTTGTTTGGTGTTATGTATGATTATGATATGGGTTGCACTTATGGTACTTCATGAAGAAACCTACCAATGGTGGACCCATAACGTGGAGAAATGGTGGACCAACAGCATGGAAAAATGGTGGACCCACAACATGGAGAATTGGTGGACCCACAACATGGAGAATTCTAATGCAATTATTTTGTATCAATGGCTCTGATTGGATGACGACAAGCGTAAACTTCCCTGTATGTAACTAAGGAAGCCGACATTTTGAATTCCGGAATATATTGACATGTAAATTCTCCAATGATAAGCAAATAAACTCACATTTGGACCTACAAATCTTCTTTTCATCAAATTTTATTACATTTTGAAGCTAACAAGAAGCCAGAAAACGCCCAGTGTTTACGTTTGATGCCGGAAGCACACCTATGACGTCACCTAGTTTAGGCGCAAAAGAAGATATCATCATTTCGCGGAATTTTCGTTTAATGAAAATTTTACACTGAAATAATGACTAAAATTGAATGATTTGTTTGTTTTGCATTAGAATAGAGATAACTGTATTGTATTTGACGCTTTGCAGACGTCCATCGGTAGTTTTACTGTCGCAAATACCCGTTTACCTGTCTCCGCTATGCGACGCCAGGTAAACTAAATTTGCGACAGTAAAACTACAGATGGACGTCCTCAAAGCGTCAAATACAATACAGTTATCTCTAAAATGGTGGACCCACAACATCGAGAAATGGTGCACCCAAAACTGGTTAAATGGTTGACCCACAATACTGAATGAATGGTGAAGAAACCTACCAATGGTTCAACCCCATCACTAGATGAAATGAAGTAACTTACCAATAGAGAAATAGTGAACTGTCTTGAAATTGTGATATGTGAATTGACCACATGAAGGGAACAATGATACGATTAGAAATTATGTGAAAAATTATATGACAGAAACTAAGAAGTATTGAATCAATGAATGAAATGAACTTGAATGAACTCAAATGATTTAGATAATATGAAGAGACAATGAGATGTAAAAGTTTAAACTTGGACCAGAAAATTATGAACAATAATCTGTGAAAACTATTTATAATGTGTTTTCCCCCAAAAACAGTGTTGGCATGGAATATGAAGAATGTGCTCTAGAACAAATATTGCCTATATACGTATTGAAGATATGTATTTAAAAAAACATTTATTTTTGCTTATTCAAATGTTTTACTTATGATATATTACTAATATTGTTTTGTTTTTCAGTTATCTTAATTAGATAATTCTTTGATAAATTACATACTAATGCGTTAGGTATAAAGTATTTTTATTTTTATGAATAATGTATGATATGATTACCAATGTTTTTATCTTGTAGCTGATGACCAATATGGATAAAACATTATTTTTGAATTTCAGTTATTTTGCTATTTTTCATTTCAATTTATTATCCCAATAAAACTTCATCAAGTATGTCAATGAGCTCATTGATTATGTGATGGTTGCACTTGTTAATATTAGTGAACTTCAGAGAACTTCCCGGATATGGACAATCTAAACTTGACAAAAGGGATTTCTTACTTTTTAAAAAAGATTAGGTTATGTCACAATTACTTAATACTTGGAAAAATAGATTAGCATTATTATGTAAAGGAAAGATATTGAGCATTAATTATACATGCCTTATATTATGAAGTTTCCGTCTGACATATGTCTATTGTCCTTGAACTCATTTTCATGGTTCACCTGTGACTACTTGAAAAAAAAGTTAAGATTTTTAGTAATCTTAATTTCTCTCTTATTATGAGTAATAGGATAACTATATTTGGTATGTGCATACCTTGCAAGGTCCTCATGCCTGTACGTTTTCGTGGTCAAGTCCATATCTCAGATACTATAAGCAATAGGTCTACTATATTTGGTGTATGGAATGATTGTAAGGTGTGCATGTCCAACTGGCAGGTGTCATTTGTCCTTGACCTCATTTTCATGGTTCAGTGGTTAAAGTTAAGTTTTGTGTTTTTTCTAATATTGAACGCAATAGGTCAACTACATATGGTGTATGAATTATTTTACAATGTACAAGTCAGTCTGGCATGTTAAATTTGACCTTGACCTCATTTTTACGATTCATTGCTTAATGTCAAGGTTTTTTTGTTGTCTGTTTTTCTAATACTATAAGTAATAGGTCAACCATATTTGGTGTATGTAATGATTGTAAGGTGTATATGTCTGTCTGGCAATTATCATCTGACCTTGACCTCAGTTTCATGGTTCATTGGTCAATCTTAATTTTTCCTGGTTAAGTTTGTTTCTTAGATACTATGTGCAACTATATTTAAAGCATATTTGGTGTATGAAATGATTGTAAGGTGTACATGTATTTCCAGTTTGATTTATCTGACCTTGACCTTATTCTTGGATAATGTTAAGTTTATGTGATAGTTGTCGTAGGACTATCAACATAAAATCAATGGTCAGTAAAAAAGGCGAGACATTTCAGCGAGTGCACTCTTGTTATTATTTGTACATGTATTTTCATTACTGGGAGTTCAATTTTTTTTCAGCTAAATTAGTAAATGAATGATTGGCTTTTCAAGGATAAATTTAAAGGTACCATAGAATAAACTCTTCAGAGAACAATAACTATTGTATTTATACAATGGGACAGGTGAACTTTCAAATATTTACATAGCCTGACAAAGAGGAACTCAAATAATATTTACAGATAGTCTGGGATTAAATGATTTTACATGATAAATATGTAAACCTTCATGGATTGTTATATAAATTGTACAGAAGCTAATTTTCAACATCAAGAAATAGAATCTGAAGAATTTTTTTTTTTATATTTTACTGATGAATGGACTTACTTTTTACAGTCAACATTACACTTTTACAATGACAGCGACAATCACAGACTAGACACAGGGTTCCACAAACTGTTAACAATTTTTCAATGCAGATAGAAGATGAGACATAACTTGGTCTGACTAAATCTACTTCTCTTGTTCCCTTGGACAATCACTGAACTGTTTAATGTTATATGTACCAAAAAGGTATGACAATAGTTTATATGAAACTCTTGATGCATTCTTCTGATGATTTTGCTTGAAACTTCAATTTATTTTATCATTTCAAGACAGTTATAATAAGAAGGAAGAGAAAGAAACAAATGGAGATAATTCTTATAAAGTTACTGAAGAGGTACAGTTACAAATGTTATTTTATTACGGTTATCAAATACATGTGCCTATGAACATTTTATATTTGTTTATATTAATAAACATTCACCATTGGTCCAAATTTGACCTTTAAGTTCAACCTTTTACTTATGTTAAAAAATGGGTTTAAATTTGCTTGCGCTGCTTAAATTTCAAAATTGGGAAAAAATTTCCTTTTCATCATACACACTTAATTTATATGATACATATATAAAAAGTAATAATCACAAAATCACAAAATACTGAACTCCGAGGAAAATTCAAAAAAGAAAGTCCCTAGTCAAATGGCAAAATCAAAAGCTCAAACACATCAAACGAATGGATAACAACTGTCATATTCCTGACTTGGTACAGGCATTTTCTTATGTAGAAAATAGTGGATTGAACCTGGTTTTATAGCTAGCTAAACCTCTCACTTGTATGACAGTCGCATCAAATTCCAGTATATTGACAACGATGATTGAACAAAACAAACAGACACAATAGGTAAAAATGTCAAAAATTTATTACTGTGGGTTCATTATTATTCGAGGGATACCAGTTTTCGTGGATTTACAGGGTAAAGGTGAACAACGAATTTAGATTTTCAACGAAGTACACATTTTTCTGTAGGCTTGAATGGAGACTTTGTCAAAACCACAAAATCAAATATTTACTAAAATACACTTGTTTCTCAGTTCACGAAATAAATGAATCCACTGTATAGAATCATTAAAAAAAATTCAGTAGAACACCCCCTTTCCCCCAATAATTAATTGTGTTGTTTTCAAATGTTTGTATGCTTTCTGTTTCTTGTCTGTTGTCTGCTTCGTCGATATTATATAACATGGCAGTGGCCAGTGTAAATGTAAAATGTGGTGGACTCTTTCTTTCCATTATTTCCTACTAAAATAAATTAAGTGAGCCGCACGCCAGGCAAGGTGTCACGGAATAGAAGTTCCTTCATAATATAAGTTCCAAATGGAAACAATATTCTGGAATATTATTTCCACTGGAATAAATATTACAGTAAATGTTCCTAACGGAATAAATGGTACAGAATATTTGTTCCAACAGGAACAGATATTATGACATTGTTTATAACAAAGTTTCCAGTGGAACTTCTGTTAGGCGGAACAAATATACGTTGACACTGGTGATCCCTCAATCATATAGTGGTGTTTCTCTCTCCTGCTACTTTTTTTTTCGCAGAAATTGAGACATAGTGACTCTTATGTGAAGATGGCCCTTACTATTTGTAAGAGCTTTAGTTTAAATTCAGAAGGACGAAGATGCGAATGCTTCATACCATATATACATGCCATATGTTACGGAAGTTTCCTTTCATATATGTCCATTGTTCTTGACCTCATTTTCATGGTTCATGAATTGCTTTTAAAAAGTGCATAGACTTTGTTAAGTAAGTTTCTAACTTATTAAAGGATAGTAATAGGAAAACTATATATATTTTGTATATATGCGATATGGGATCCTTGAAAAATCTATATTGTCTGTCAGACAGGGTTTACCTGCACTTTACCTTATGGACCAGTGATCAAGGTTAAAGTTTTGAGGTCAAGTCCATATCCCCCATTATTATTTGCGATAGGTCAACTTTATTTGGTGTAGGAAATGATAATGTAAGATAAATATGTCAGTGTGGCAGGTTTCATCTGACCTTGACATCCTCTTCATGGTTCAATGGTCAAGGTTAAAGTCGTAGTGGTTTGATTCATTTCTCAGATACTAATACATTATGTCTGAAACTATAGTTGGTGGATGGATCGATTGTAAGGTGTACCTGTCCTGACTAGCAGGTTTCATTTGCCTTTGCTTTCATTTTCATGTTTTATTGATGAAAGAGGTCTTTAAAATAAAAAAAAAATCATCCTATTTTTGCACCCTATCATCATTTCAGTTGTTTGATTTGTTGTAATTTCTGTGATTGATGTTCACTGTTTTGCAATTTTTATTAATTCGACATATATATATATATATATATATATGCTTATTTGCATGGTAAAAAAATTTAGGAATGTTTTTTTTTTACTAAATAAATCCATGCATAGACTATAGATAAATAAATGTTATCCATTTGTGCTGAAATGTTAAGATACTTTATATCTTAATACAAAATGAAGAAAAGGTTATCACATATTGAAAGAGGGAGGTCTCATACTCTGTTGCTCCAAAAGGTTGTTAAGATGTACATGTTCATATAAAGATAAGAAGATATATTAAGATTGCCAATGAGACAACTTTCCACCAGAGTCTTGTTTTCAATTTTCATTTTCAATGTCGATTTTTCATGGTTAAGTCTGTTTTTCAGATATTAATTGTAAACAATAGGTCAACTTTATTTAGTGTATTGGATAACTGTAAGGTGTACACGTCTTTCTGATAGGGTTTATCTGACCAAAACCTTATGTTCATGGTTCATTGGTCAATGTTAAGTTTCCTGGATAGGTCGGTTTCAGATATGCAAAAGGTCAACTATGTTTAGTGTATGTGTTGATTGTATAAGAAGGGTTTGAACTTATTGAACAGAACCACGGGTGCCACATTTGGATCGGGTTACCCTTCTAGAACACTTGATATCACCCCTCGTTTTTGTTCGGGTAAAAAGTTATCAAAGGTACCAGAATTATAATTTAATACGCTAGACGCGCGTTTCGTCTACATAAGACTCATGGAGATTATTTGGCCCTGCCCCCTCAGTCATGGCATATTGGCTTTGAAACTTTTGCTTAGTTTACATGTATAAGTGTAATTTATAAGTGTTACTCAGATTTTAGTTTTCTGTTTTGCATTTTGTATACTGTTTTGTCTTATATCCTTTTTAGGTTTTTGCCGTGGCATTTCATTTGTTTTCGACTCATGAGTTTGAATATCCCTTTGGTATCTTTCGCCTCTCATTTTTAAGGTGTGCATGTCTGTCTGGCAGAGTTCATTTGATCTTTACTTTCTTTACATGAACAATTTATAATGTAAATTTAGTTATGTGATACTTTTATCTGAATGGCTTTCAACATGAATTCAAACAAAGCATGCGAGACATTTCTACATTTTAACATGCACTAGCCAAAGAATTGTAGTTTACGGTTAATATACTTCATGTTCACTTGAAGAAAGTTAGAATATAAGTATATTCGTTGTTTTTGTCTCGCCTTGACGGAGTCAAAAAGCGAGACATAGGTATGCTGCTCCGGCGGCGGCGGCGGCGTCAACAATGTATTGGTTGGTCAATGATATTTGGAATGCAGTTGAATTAGCACTGGTACATCTCATTTCCATGGAGATTATTTGGCCCTGCCCCCTCAGTCATGGCCTATTGGCTTTGAAACTTTTGTTTGTTTACATGTATTAGTTTGTGATAAGTTCAGTTTATGAGGAACCACTAGTAGTAAGTCAATGATATTCCGCATGCAGTTGTATAAGCATTGGTATATCTCATTTCCATGGAGATTATTTGGCTCCGCCCCCTCAGTCATGGTCTATTGACTTTAAAACTTTTGTTTAGTTTACATGTTTTAGTTTGTGATTAGGTCAGTTCAAGGGTAACCACTAGTGGTAAGTCAATGATATTTGGTATGAAGTTGTATAAGTATTGGCATATCTCATTTCCATGGAGAATATTTGGTCCCTCCCCCGCATTCATAGTCTATTGACTTTGAAACTTTTGCTTAGTTTACATGTATTAGTTTGTGATTAGATCAGTTTAAGATGAACCATTAATGAAAAGTCAATGATATTTGGTATGCAAATGTATTGGCATTTGCAAATCTCGTTTCCAGTGAGATTATATAGCCCCACCCCTCATCATGGTTCATTGACCTTGAAACTTTTACATAGTTTACAAGTCAATGTTTGTTTACGTTTGTTTAAAGGGAACGACTTTTGAAAAGTCAATGGTATTTGGTATGTAGTTGTATTAGCATTAGCACATCTCTTTTCCATGGAGATTGTTTAGCCCTGTACCTTCAGTCATGGTTCATTGACTTTGAATATTTGCATAACTTACATGTTAAAGTACTGCTATTTTAATTTCAACATTTGCATTTTCAAAATAACAAATAGGCGAGACATATCTCTGTGTTAACAGTTTATTTTGCAATGCATTGAGATTAATTTAACATGTACCATTGAAAGATCATTATCGGAGTGCATAAGTTTTTTTCACCTGTGATTGATAAGTGATGTTTTGTCCAGTTTGATTCAATATCTGTCAGTCAGATAAGACAAACGAAGTTATATTAGCACGAGAAAACAATCTTATTAAGTTATTTGAAATCGGTACTAATAAAATTTAGGAATTAAAATTTATTTTTAAACAGTATGTTTAATGCATAAAACAACAATTTTTGTCATTATTGATCAATCTTGGAATTCAAACTGAGTTTTCTTGTCACAGCATTACTATTAATAAATGTGTATATTTTCTGTTGAAACATACTTTCTAAAAGTTTTCATTTTCAATTTGTCTATATGAAGAATTGTTAAAGTTTATGTCTGTTGTCAGTCAGTATTTACTGTGCCTATTAGCATTTACAGAAATTAATGCTCGTCTTTCAAAGTGTCTTTTTTATAAATCTTATTTCACAGATTGCTTTGTCTTGAAACAGAAAGACGATACAAATTAATTCGTCGACTGATTCCTTAAAGGGGTTAGACAAATACTCTCGTCTTGCAGAAGTGATCAGCAAGACAATATTTTATCCACAGTTTCTTTAACGAACACAAATAGTCTTGCTGGACTGTATCAATTTTATTCAGTATTGCAAGGTGATAAATAGCCTCTCCTTCATATTCTTGAGAAAGAAAAAGTTATTTATTCAACATTTTAAAACAAGAATATTCTTTCTTCCAGATTGAATATGTAAACAAGGTAGGTAACTAGGACCTCTGTAAGTATATATAGTAATTGATAAGTATTCAGTGTCTACTTTACAATTAATACAACATGATCTTGAGTTATAATCCCCAAGGGTGACTGGGGAATAGAAATATGGTCATTACAGGTCTTCTACCGACCGGCAGTAAAACCCTTGCCAAAGTGGGCCGTCCGTTTGGCTGTGCGGGATGTATCAAGTACGCAGCCACGTCCGGTTAGAATGAGGACGTTAAATCCGATGCCTCGTGCAGAGAGAGTGTCACGCTCTCTGCACGTTAAGAACCCTTGCAACAACTCTTTGAGGGGTCCGTAGGTGGCCTGTTGCAAGGCTAAATATCTGTCCCTATCCAATATACCCTCATTTTCCCGTGGCAGTTCAAATTTTGCCCGACCTGCAACCCAGTTGATCTATATTACCAGACCTACCTATTGTATTTATTGTTTACTAGTTCTCGTCCTGAACATGCATGAAATATTTGCCACAGGACGTTAAGTAACCAACAATCAATCAATCAATTTTGAGTTATATATTCTAGGTTCTGACTTTTTATTTAATTGGACTTTGTACTATTATGTTCCTTTTGGCCGTATGACGCTTGGCGTGGCTCCTTATCCTTGTGTGGGTTTGTGACCTAGTGGTTAAGACCGATGGCTACAGTGCTGAAGGTTCCGGGTTCGATCCTGACTCGGGTTGCTGTAAATTTCAGTTTGTAAGTAGGGTGATTTTCACCCTCCCACACACGTCTCTGGTACCCAGACCGGAGTTCAAACTAGAATGGGTACATTGGGGGCCTTGGTTGGTCAAAGTGGCCCCCGAGTTTGACCTGGAGATCAATTTGTAGATATCTCTTCGGTTTATCTGTTTCCGCTGAGAAGCCTGGTGGTTCTCTCCGAGTACTTCCTCCACCATATAAACAGCCTTCCCGGTGTCCTAACACTCCCTTGGTGTTGGGTTGGGATGTTCAGTCGTGGTGGGTTGTATACAAGTTAGTGACACATCTCCATTAATCCTTATAGGGAGTGTACACTGATTCCACTGTATGCTCGCAGCTCTCGAGTGGTGCTTCGCATATCGGAGGAATTTATGTACATACATACATATGCCTTCAACCACCTTTCGGGTTTTTGGCTTTGGGTGTTCCTAATGCGGGTGGGTCCATTGTTTTAATTTAGCAAACCCTTGTTTTGATAATTTACAAAAGTTTTGAAAAAGAGTATATATGTCATTGTGTTTTACTATGCTGTATGTACTATCAAACTACAATTTTTGTTTGTTTGCGTCTTTGTCAGATATATTTGTATATAAAAATAAGGAAATGCTGATTGCCAATTAAACAATTATCCACCAGAGTTCAAAGCAGAAGTAAACAACTATATGGTCACTCTTTGGCCTTCAACAACGAGCAAAACCAATGTTCGTTGACAGGATTCTTCTGACCTTAACTTTTAATTAATTAAATTAAATGTTTACAAAATTTTCGATTGTTCAAAATACTACGGATTTTCCACCTCAGAAATAGCTACATTTGTCAATACATTTCAGAATTTTGGGTCTGTAATGCTTTAAAACTTTGTATTTTATTTGGACTTTACATTTTTGTCGAGCCTGCGAAAAAGCGAGACATAGGGATCCTAGAATCTGTCGTCGTCGGTGGCGTCAACATTTATGTTCAGTCTGTGGTTAAAGGTTTTTTTTGGACATCAATAACTTTGTCAAACCTTCATGGAATTTATGGAAATTTGGACAGAAGCTAATATTTATGACCAAAATACAGTATTAAGAGCAAAAGTTTGAAAATATTTATTTTCATTTTTCCGTATTTTACATATAAATTAGAGCTTTACAGTTAACATTCAGATTCAGTCTGAGGTTAAAGTTTTTCAGTCATCAATAACTTTGTCAAACCTTATGGAAGTTTAGGAAATTTGTACAGAAGCTTGTTTATGACCGAAATACAGTATCCAGAGCAAAATTTTGAAATTGTTTATTTTCGTTTTTCCGTATTTTACTGATAAATGGACGTACTTTTTTTTACAGTTAACAAGTAGATACAGTCTGGTGTTAAAGTTTGTTACACATCCATTACCTTGTCAAATCCTCATAGAATTTAATGAAACCTTTGCAGAAGCCTTTTTATGATTAAAGATATAATGTCTGAAGCAAACTTTTGAAAATATATTTCATTTTCAGTATTTTTCTGATAAATGTACTTAGTTTTTTACAGTTTACATTTACAGACAGTCTGAGATTAAAGTTTTTTGACATGATGAATTTGTAAACCTTCACGGATTGTTATGCAACTTGGACAGAAGCTAATCCTCAAGACCAGAAAAAAAAGAATCTAAAGAAAAAGTTAGATTTTTTTTTTTAATTCTATATTTTACTGATAAATGGACTGACTTTTCAAGTCAACACTACACTTTTACACTGACAGCAGCAATCGTAGGCGAGACACAAGGTTCTGCGTAAACCCCTTATGAATTTTTTGATAAGAGTGTCACTGTTGAGTCTTTTCTAAAATTAGTAGCAATTGACTTAACTCAATAGACCGGTGTGAGGCACAAACACAACTAACATAAAACAACAGAAACAAAGCACCAACATAAGAGTACTCGCAGTTACCGAAAGCTTTTTCAAAGTCAATTACAACCAATAAATAAATTATTTTCTCAAAGACTAAGTTTGTTTGTATGTTTGTTTGAATTTCTAAGTAGATTGTGTGGCATATCTGTGATGTATGGTTACACAGTTTTGGCTGCTGGATCCCAATTATTGTCTCGTTAACCTATTGTATCTTTGTGGGTTGCTCACGGAAAGGCTTATCTGGCTATGAAACCAGGTTTAGCCAACCATTTTCTTTGGAAAATGCCTGTACCAAGTCAAGAATATTACATTTGTTTTCCTTTTGTTGATATAGTCGAGTGTTTGATTTAGTCTGGTTTAATGGACTTTTTGAATTTAACTTGGAGTTCAGTATATTTGTAAATACATTTTCATTAAACAACAGTAGGGATGAACCCAGGTGCTCCAGAATGGTAAACAATTTGGGCTCAACTGGTAAACATAAACAATACTATTTCCGTATAGGGAACTCATTTTTTCCAAAGACTTGAAATTGTGATTAAACAAGGCCCCATATATTTGCAAAATGGAAAACAATACAACAGATAAAAAAATAGCCTGGTTTTTAGTTTTAATCACATCTCAAACAATAAAAACAACGACGGTAAACCCCAACGACCGCCCACTGGACTACAGGCTTCAGACCTGGAATAATTTATGTGAAGGAGTAAATATGTATATTAGTGGTCAACCTTCACTTTATAATCTGCTATGACGGTCAACCAACAAAACATTAGAAACAAATTGTAAATGAAGTTGTAAAGGGTTTGACTTAAGCATGAGAACAAAACATTAAAACTGGTTATTACCAATCTGATGGTTCTCACTGTCTACCTGCCATGTTTTATCTGCGCAAGAAGACGAATTTCTATATTTTTTTAGTACAATTTTCAAATTCTAACAAAAAGTTAAATGAATAACCTTTAAAATATGTTTATTTAAAGGACCAATGAGATGTAAAGTCAAATCAGCGTAAAATTGGGTTGTAATATTTTACCCTACCGGTGCACCTGAGATCACCCCCAGTTTTTGGTGGGGTTCGTGTTGCTTAGTATTAAGTTTTCTATGTTGTGTCTTGTGTACTTTTATTTGTCTGTTTGTCTTTTTATTTTTTAGCCATGGCGTTGTCAGTTTATTTTCGATCTATGAGTTTGACTGTCCCTCTGGTATCTTTCGCCCCTCTTTTAAAATGTTTTTTATATCAAGATTTATATACTGCCAAACTTCCAAACTAACGACTTATACAAACCTATGCTTTAAGATTTTCTGTTTTAAGAAATGTCTAAAAATACTAATAAAAAAATGATAGCTAATAAAAATTATGTATAGTGAGACAAATCACTAATGCAAGAAGTTGAAATGCATACCGCCTGTACATTCAACCTGGTAAAGGAGTCAAATTCATTTCTTTAGCATTCAATCTGTTGAAGGAAGGAGAAAATGCATACACTTATTCTGTAGCCTGGTAAAGGAAGGTGAAAATGTACACACTGAGCCTCTAATTTGGTAAACGATGATGAACATTTGTACCCTCAGCATTTTAACTGGTAAAAGAATGAGAGGCATATCTCATACAATTCTATTATTTGTAGAAATTTGAGACCTATTTTTTATTATTACATGGAGTGCAGATATTGCATGTGTTTCATATTCTCATTCGCAGACCTTTGAGCTGTTGACCCTATTATTTTACATAATAAAATTATATGAAGAAATGAAATTTGAGGTAAACATTTAAAAAACAACAATACAACAATACTAATTGACATGAAAAGAGAAACATAAATAGAAATTCAACAGAGATCCCTGATCAAAGTTCTTGTGTGTTTATATATTGATATAGTTATTATTTGTTAAGAGTACCATAATCTACTACATTTAGATTAAGGCATTTTATTTATACTCATAGAAATTACTGAAAGCCGCAGAAAAAGGAAAAATAGATGAACTTAGGCAATACTTGGATCTTGGTGCTGATGTGAATTATTGTGATAAGGTATAATAAATATATCCACTGTTTTAAGTATCCGTTTCGTATTTTTTTAATATATTAAGTATCTCTATTTTTTGGCAGTACTTGTAAAAACGTGAAAAATCGCACCATTGGACAATTGCATCTATTTACATGTAGAAAACATATAGTTGCTTTTCTAAACCATGAATATAAACTTCTTTGAACATGCATGCTTTTATTGACTAAACCCGAGAGAAATGGACACTGTTATAATGAATATGTTTAAATAATTCCAAAGTCTTGAGATAAACTTGGCTTGTTTCATATTATAACGTGAATAAATGAATTCCTACAAAGAAGAAATAATAGTTCTTTGGTGTTTATATGAACATTTTGATTTAAGCATAATTTGTGGTTCATTTTATCGGATTTATAAGTATAAAAGATAACTTTATAGGGTTTATTTGTGTGTTAAAATGCCCTACATTCACAAAGTAAACCACAGCTTAAAGTCCTTCGGATTTTTTTCAGTTTGTGAGAAATTTGGCAGAAAGCTTTTGTACAATTAAAATGATTAAATGATAAAATATAGCAATAATCTTATATATGTCTTAATGTCTTAGGTGTTATATATTTTTAAAAAAAAATTTGAAAGAGGTCGTGTTAATATATTCTGTTACTATTTATATAAACTAAACATAAGTAAGTTGATGGAATTATACATGTAATTATAGTATGGTACTTCATTACATTGGACTGCTGCCCAGGGACACCTACATATGACCAGATTATTATTAGAAAAAGGCAGTGATATGAACATAAAAAACAAGGTATTATCTTCTAGTAAATTTTTTCATCGATTTTTGTCTCATCTGCGACAAAAGTCAAGGAATGCAAGACGTATTTATTACTATCCGGCGGTGGTAGCCAAAACTATTTGTATAAATCTTTATATTTCAGAAAGTAAAAGACCTGTGTGCTTCATACATGGTATACCTTATTTTAGAAAGTTTTCTGTCAGTCATATGTCCATTGTCCCTGACCTCTTTCTTAATGGTTTAGCAACTGCTTGAAAAATATATAGATTTATTTGTCTATGACACAATGACAAATGTAAAACAATTTTAAAGGAAAGACTTGTGGCCTGATTTGTGTACAAAACAATGAACAGGACAAAATATGATATACAGCAACAAAAGACAACCACTAAATAACAGGAATGTTCAGTGTTCATTATTAGGTCTGTTTCTCAGATGCCAAGAGCTAAAAAGCTAACTATTTTGGGTGTAGAGTATTATTGTAAGGTGTACATGTCTATATGGTGGGGTCCTCTGACCTTTACATGGAATATTGATAATATTAAGTTTATGTTGCACTTGTAGTTAAACTTTCATTTTAAAGACTTTTGTGAAAACATAAGTTCAATCATGATAAGTAAATCAGGCGAGACATTTCAGCATGTGCACTCTTGTTTTTATTTCATTTTAAAGCTCAACTTAGAACTCTTAAATATTTGAATTACCAAACCTAGGAGGAATACATCAGTATACCAGTAACACAAAAAATATTATGAATAATTAAGGAATGTGTCATCTTTTTTAATTATATTGACAAATCTTCTGATTTTCTGGCAACGCAATATGTAGGAAATATAACATTGATGTGGATTAATTAAAACATTTTATGATTGTCTTGATATATTCATAATTAGGAGAAAGTGTTATGCCAAAAACAACATACTACTGGCCTGCTCTATGTTGATTGGTTTCAAGTCAGTCTATGTGGCATAACCATTAAGTTATCAACCTCTATTTAATTAATAAAAAATATTTCCGAATTAGTTGGGTTTTGAAAACAGTATTTAACAAAAACCGTGAATAAGTAAGGATAACTAATATTTAACCAGTTTTTCTGTTGTCCTTATTTTCTTGTCTGTAAAGGTTATACGTTTGATAACTGGATTGATTGATTCATTGATTGATTGGTGCTTAACGCCACTTTCAACACTATTGTGCTATTTCGTGGCGGTCAGTTTTTACTGGTGGAGGAAGCTTGAGTGCCCGGAGAGAACCACGACCTTTGATAGGAAAACTGACAATCCTAGTCAATTAAGATTAAGAGTCGAGTGCACCTGCCCCGTGCGGGATTCGAACTCACAACTTCAGTGTTGACTGGCTAGTGATACAGTAGTTCGACTACTTAGACCACTCGACCACCGAGGCCCCTTGATAACTGGAAGTGATTGGTCAACAATATTTGGTAGTGGTCCATTGAGAATGGGGACATGAAATTTAATACTTCCCGCAGAGAGAGTGCAGCATTGATATGAACCAAATAAATTTCATGAAGTCATACCCTCCCCGGCATAACGTTATAAATATTTACTATATAATTCAAAGCTATTTAAACATTAAAAAAACTAAAGCTGCTGTCGAAATAAATAAAAAACCAAATCATTGTAAATAATGACTTCATTTAATACAAAAGACTGGTTGGTGGTTATTCAAATAATTTGAAACCAACTTCTGTTGGTGCTTTTGATCATCTTGATTTTATCTGCAAAATTTGACACAATTGACAACAATTTTTTTCAGTGGGGAGAAGGTCTTCTACATAGGGCTATTGATGGAAACCTGGAGACTTTGCGGTTATTACTTGATGAAGGAATGGATCCTAACATGCAGACTGAGGTATTTTATGGAAAGGTCTCTCAAAGTTTGTGCCTTGAAACTGCATAGCAAATTTTTTTGGCATCACAACTGACAGTCTACTTTTGTATAACTTTTGATAGTCTTTTAGTCTAGTCACACATTCTAATAGTTCACCTATCTTTCTGACACCTCATTAGTTTGACAGTCTATCAATCTTAAAATACATCTTGACAAACCCTTTTAAGACACAACATCATTGTCAAGCAAACCTTTTTATTTCTCTAATTCTTATTTTGAAGTTAAACAATGTGATCAAATAATTTTTCTTCAAAAATTGTGGAATTTCGTATCATGTTTATTCTTCATTTCATGTCTTAAGTGGAAACCACTTTTAGAATCCCCCAAGAGTATGAGCTCCTGCTGAGAAGGTTTTGAAAGTCTACACCTATATCATGTATATGTCTCTCATTTGGTAATTATAAACATCCTGACCAAGGTTATTTGAGGCAGTGCTTGGATTGACCATCATTATTTTCTTGAGAATTATTTTAAAGTAGAGATACATTTCCTGAAATGTCACCCATACAGACACAAACTCACTGCAGACCCAATTGCTGATTACGGATTGGTGTTGAATGTTTAGTGGCAAACATAACATACATATCAGGAGGAGAACATATAAATTTGAAAAAACATGAACCCTGCATTTATCGAGACGGTGCAGTATTTTTATGTGCTAGTTCAGATGGTAATAGTCCTCTAGTATAGTCATGTCTGACAGCTTCAGAGTGCAGTCCATACAAAAGTCATGGAAATTTCCGACCCAGACTTTTGGGGGCAAGTTATATATCGAAATCGTAAAAGATCCACTTATAAAGAGATAAATTATACATCATCAGACTAGGACACATTATTCTAACTCAGAGCGGACCAGTTTTTGCTCATACTCCTAAATTCTTCATGCTTTGACCCCTCAGTTATGATATTGTGACTTTCAAACTTTTTTTATAATTTATATGTTAAAGTTTGTGGTTCAGTCAGTTTAAGATGGACCACTTATGGTTAGTCAATAGTATCTATTAAGTACCATTGATTTTGAATAAATGAATAGTTTTCATGTATCATTTATTCAAAATCAATGGACTGCTTAATAGATACCATTGACTTCCCATAAACTGACTGAATCACAAACTTTAACATATAAACTATAAAACAAAGTTTGTTGAACCTTTTTGGAATATTATGAAACTGGTGCAGAAACCTTGTTATGTTCAAAAGAGTCCAGAGCAAAATTTAGAAAATCTTTTTTTTTTCATTTTTTGGATTGGGGCAGATATCCATCATGATCCAGAGCAAATTGTGAAATAATTTTTTTTAATTTGAGACCATTCAAATTTTACATTTTTTACTGATAAATGTACTTTTTGTTTCCAGTAAAGTTTAGATAGTCATAGGGCAAATTTTTTGAGACAATAACAAATTGAAGGCATCAAAATTCTGTGAAACTTTCATGAAATGTTGTGAACCTTGGACAGAAGTACTTAATGATGAAGAAATAGCATCTGAAAAAAAAATGTTGATTGTTCTATTTTCTACATTTCAACTGATAAATAGAATATGCTTTTGCAGTAGCCTACACTCTAATATTGACAGCAAAAAATCGCCGGATTAACAATCAAAGATACCGAGTCAGAGCACAAAATAGTTTCTTTTGACCCTTGAAGAGTTTTTGTAATGTGCCAATCTTTATTTTAAAATTTGATAAAATGTGCCAATTTTTGTCTAAAGATTTCTATTTCTATAAATATAAGTTCCAGTGTGTTAAAATTTGTCAATGCTCAGTTACTTCTTGCTGGTAATCTGTTTTTCCCACTATTCATTCAAAAAGTCTTCAAAAGTCAACTGCTGTATAAGTGAACAATTTTGAGTTAATTATGATTGCATTTTCCAGGATAAAACGACAGGTTTACATACAGCATTGTATCGTGGCAAAATTGATATGGTACAGCAATTGCTCAAATCTAGTGCTAATGTTAATTTGCAGGATAAGGTAATTATACTGAGAGTTAATTTATTGTCAAAACACTAAATTAACACTGCTTTTAGCTCACCTGACCAAAAGGGTCAAGTGAGCTTTCTCATCACTTGGCATCCGTCGTCCGTCTTCGTCTGTCATCATCCATTAACTTTTACAAAAATCTTCTCCTCTGAAACTACTGGGCCAAATTGAACCAAACTTGGCCTAAATCATCCTTAGGGTATCTAGTTTGAAAAAATATATCCGACGACCCCGCCCATCAAACAAGATGGCCTCAATGGCTAAACATAGAACATAAGGGTAAAATGTAGATTTTGGCTTATATCTCTGAAACCAAAGCATTTAGAGCAAATCTGACGGGGTAAAATTGTTCATCAGGTCGTAATCTATCTGCCCTCAAACAACCCGTTGTTGGGTTGCTGCCCCTGAATTAGTAATTTTAAGGAAATTTTGCAGTATTTGGTTATTATCTTGAATTTTATAATAGATAAAACTGTAAACAGCAAAAATGTTCAGCAAAGTAAGATCTACAAATAAGTCAAACGTGACCAAAATTGTCAATTGCCCCCTTAAGGAGTTATTGCCCTTTAAAGTCAATTTTTCACAATTTTTCGTAAATTTTTGTAATCTTTTACAAAAACCTTCTCCTCTGAAACTACTACTTTCAAGTCAATTTTTCAATACTTTTCGTAAATTTTTGTAATCTTTTACAAAAATCATCTCCTCTTAATCAACTTGGACAAATGGAATTAAACTAAGCTACAAATATTATTAGAGTATCTTGATTGAAAAATGTATCTGATGACCCTGCCCTACAACCAATATGGTCACCATGGGTAAAAATAGCATATAGGTGTTTACTATATAGAAGTCTATGGGAAAAATGTAAAAAAACTAATTTCAAATGGTCACAACTTGAAAACTAATTTAAATAATTATATGGGGTCTTCATTAACTAATGTAAGACTTTTTTCCAAGGGGGATGCATTTTTTTTCAGGGGTGGGGGTTGCAAATAATTCCTCCTTGATATGTTCCATTTTCAGAATTATTCAGTGTTACTTTTTCTAAAAACCATTATTATATCTTTTCTTTCAGCAGACTTATATTAGGTGAATGCCCCCCCCCCCCCCCCCCCCCCCTCAAACCAGGCAGGTTAGTCGGGTCAAGACCCTTGCCCAAATTTTTTTTCAAGGGTGTTAAAAAAAAAAGGAATTTCCAGCATTATACAGGCCCTGGTTGAAATAAATTTTGGAGCAGTCCAGGAAAGGAAATTTTTCATTTTTTGATAATTATCTTGAATATCATTATAGATTGAGATATACTGTAAGCAGCAAAAATATCAAGCAAAGAAAGATCTACAAATAAGTCAACATGACCAAAATTGGCAATTGACATCTTCTTGGAGTTATTGTCCTTTAAAGTCATTTTCTGTAATTTTTAGGTAATTTTTGTAAATTTTTTCAAACATCTTCTGCTTTTAATATAACTACTGGGCCAAATCAAACCAAACTTGGCCTCAATCATTATTAGGGTATCTGTTATGATTTTAACCATATTTTACATGATTTCCAAAACCACAGTAGATACAGTTGAGCGACACAGGGTTGAGAGACTCTAGTTAGATAAAAGTATGATCTAGCTATTAACCACCCTGGCCATCACTACTTAGTATAGAACATGTGGTTAATGATATGGTATTTCAATTTTGTTATGTTCCTTCGTCATTTTTGTCTCGCATTGACGGAGTCAAAAAGCGAGACATAGGTCTGCTGTGTCCGGCGTCGGCGGCGACGGCGGTGTCAACAATGTATTAGTTTGTGATTAGGTCTAGTTCATGGTGAACCACTAGTGGTAGGTCAATGATGTTTGGTATGCAGTTGTATAAGCATTGGCACATCTCATTTTTATGAACATTATTTGGCCCCGCCCCCTCATTCATGGTTTATTGACTTTGAAACTTTTGCTTCGTTTTCATGTATTAGTTTGTGATTAGGTCAGTTCAATGGCGAACCATTAGTGGTAGGTCAATGATAATTGGTATGCAGTTGTATAAGCATTAGCACATCTCATTTCCATGGAGAATATATGGTCCTGCCCCCTCAGTCATGGTCTATTGACTTTGAAACTTTTGCTTAGTTTACATGTATTAGTTTGTAATTATATCAGTTTAAGATGAACCGCTAATGTTAAGTCAATGATATTTAGTATGCAAATGTATTGGCATTTGCAAGTCTCGATTCCATGGATTATATAGCCCCACCCCCTCATCATGTTTCATTGATTTTGAAACTTTTCCATAGTTTACAAGTCAATGTTTGTGTTCAGGGTTGTTGAAAGGGAACGACTTATGATAAATCTATGGTGTTTGGTATGCTGTTGTATTAGCATTGGCACATCTCGTTTCCATGGAGATTGTTTTGCCATGTACCTTCAGTCATGGTTCATTGACTTAAAAGATTTGCATAACTTACAAGTTAAAGTATTGCTATTTTAATTTCAACATTTGCATTATCAAAAGTACAAAAAGTCGAGACATATCTCTGTGTTAACAGTTTATGGATGATAATGGCAGATCTTTGATTGTTTCTGTTTACTTTTTTTTTACTTTTTTAGACAATTTGGAGTTTGACATATTTTGTAGAAACCTGCAGTTTTTGTTGAAAACTAAGTTGCTCTCTAGACATTTTAATATGATTATGTTTGTCATTGTGTTTCTGTCTCACTGACATACACAATATTTCCTCTTTTATTCATATTTGATAAAATGCAAATTATTGTCTTATATCCAGAAAATTGGAGTATATAGGGATAATGTGACCAAAAAAAATCAGATTATTTCTTGTTGGATTTAATGACCTTTAATGTAAACGTTAGTCCCATCTGCAACATAATTCATTGAATGTGGGACAAAGTGATGCTAATCAGGTCATTGCAGGTGGTGGGACAATGAGAGAATTAATATATTCAAAATTAGTATTGCCAACTATAAAATATTCGCAGAAGGTAGAAGACATGGTAAACTCATACCTTGTTTACAGATCCCTTATTTTTCGAAGTTTGCGTCTGTCATCTGTCCATTGTACTAGACCACATTTTCATGGAGTAGCCATTGCTTAAAGAAACTAAGTATTTGTAGATTTTCCAAGATACTATAAGCACTTTGTCACCTATATTATTTTGTATAGAATGATTGTAGGGACAACATTTATATCTGACAAGAGATTCATGCTCATTGAAGCCTCCAGTTAAGGCTATTGGAATTATTCTTAAAGTATTTTTTGATGTTTTCAAAAACATGGTTTCATTAACCTTGTTGGATGTTAATGGTTTGAATAGAAATAAGAAGATGTGGTATGTGTGCCAATGAGACAACTATCCATCCAAGTCACAATATGTAAAAAGTAAACAATTATAGGTCAAAGTACGGCCTTAAACACGCAGCCTTGGCTCACACCGAACAGTAAGCTATAAAGAAGGTTATTTCAGAAAAGTTTTGACTCTTGTTTTTAGGATCTTTGTTCACCTCTTAGCTCTGCAGCTAAGTTAGATGATTTACAAGTAGCCAAGTTACTGGTGGATCATGGAGCATGTCTGAACTCTACTAACTATGTAAGTCACCTAGTTTAAAAACTGTTAATTGTCAAGTAGACTGTTGGCAAGTTCATTTCTCTTTCAAAAGTCTAATGTTTGTAAATTCTTAGCTTAGACACTAAAGGAATGGTGATGTTCTATTGGTCCCTTCTTACATTTTATATCTTTGGTTCGTTGCATTAGCTAATACTCTTAACGGTTATCAATTTGTGTTATTTGTAATATTTTTATTACTTGTACAGCCATTGATTTTTGTCTCGCCTTGACGGAGTCAAAAAGCGAGACATAGGTATGCTGTTTCCGGCGTCGGGCGCGGCAGCGTCAACAATGTTTTAGTTTGTGATTAAGTCTAGTTTATGGTGAACCACAAGTGGTTGGTCAATGATATTTGGTATGCCTTTGTATTAGCATTTGCACATCTCATTCCCATGGAAATTATTTGGCCATGCCCCCTTAGTCATGGTCTATTGACTTTGAAACTTTTGCTTAGTTTACATGTATTAGTTTGTGATTAGGTCAGTTTATGGGGAACCACCTATACAACTGAATGCTATTTGGTATTCAGTTGCATAGGCATTAGCACATCTCATTTCCAGGGAGAATATTTGGCCCCGCCCCCTCAGTATTAACTTTGAAACTTTTGCTTAGTTTATATGTATAAATTTGTGATTAGATCAGTTTAAGATGAACTTCTAATGTTAAGTCAATGATATTTGATATGTAAATTTATTGGCATTTGCAAGTATTATTTCCATGGAGATTAATTAGCTCTACCCACTCTTCATGGTTCATTGACCTTGAAACTTTTACATAGTTTATAAGTTAATGTTTGTGTTTAGGTTTGTTTAAAGGGAACGACTTATAATAAGTCAATGGTATTTGGTATGCAGTTGTATTAGCATTGGCACATCTCATTTCCATGGAGATTTTTGAGCCATGTACCTTTAGTCATGGTTCATCGACTTTGAATATTTGCATAACTTAAATGTTAAATACTGCTATTTTAATTTCAACATTTGCATTATCAAAATTACAAAAAGATGAGACATATCTTTGTGATAACAGTTTACATTTTCTATAGTTTAAAGTCATATGATACTTTAAATTTAAAAACAAAGTTGAATATGTTTTATATACTTGAATGGCTAAGATTTACAATAAAACACATACACATGGACTTTCTTTTAAAAGAAAATCCTTAATCTTATCAAAATTTTCAGAATGTACTGCTTTTAAATTATTGTCTATCTGTACTTGATCTACTTCGCGGATAGCTTTTCTGTATGCATTGACTTTGCTGGTCTGTATAGATATATTAGGTAAATAATACAGGGACCTCTAGTTTTTACCATTGTTTGGTATGTATAGATATATTAGGTAAATAATACAGGGACCTCTAGTTTTTACCATTGTTTGGTATGTATATATATGAGGTAAATAATACAGGGACCTCTAGTTTTTACCATTGTTTGGTATGTATATATATGAGGTAAGTAATACAGGGACCTCAAGTTTTTTCCATTGTAGGTTTAGATAATAGGTTTATAATTCAAGGATCTATAGGTGTTTCCATTGATGCTTTGTAAAGAAGTTAGGTAAAATTGTACAATGGTCTCTAAGTGTTTCCATTGATGATATATATATAGATATATTAGGTAAAAACACATATGCATCCTAGTTGATTCTAATGTGATGGTATGTTTAGATGTTAGATAATAATACAGGGACGTCTATTTGTTTTCTTTGATTGTATGTATAGATATTAGGTAGATAAAACAAGAACCTTTGATTTGCTTTCATTGCTGGCAAATATAGATATCAGGTAAATAAAAGTATAGTAAGGAGGCATCTAGTTGTTTCGATTGCTTCAGTGCATAGGTAAAAAGCTATTGATACAGGAAGCTCTAGCTTTTCCATTAGTCCTATGTATATATAGTAGGGTTATAATACAAGGACATCTAATTGTTTCCATGAATGTATAGATAATAGGTTTATAATACAGGGACCTCTAGTTGTTTCTATTGATGGTATGTATAGATATTATGGTTATAATACAAGGACCTCTAATTGTTTCCATTGCTGGAATGTATAGATAATAGGTAATTAATACAGGGATCTCTTGTTGGTTTTATAAATAAACTCATCATAGATATCACAATTAAAATTTTTTTCTCCAAACAAGCGTTTCGTCTACAAAAGACTCATCAGTGACCCTTGCATCAAAAAAGTGAAAAAGGCCAAATAAAGGACGAAGTTGAAGAGCATTGAGAACCCAAATGCCAAAAGTTTTTGCCAAATACAGCTAAGGTAATCTATTCATGGTAGAAAATCCTCAGTGGTCTAAACATTCAGAGTTTTGTAAGCTGTAAATTTATAATCTAAAGAAAGTAGGTAAGTTCCACATAAAACATTTAGTTGATTGTATTGATGGTGTGTCTAGATAGTTGCTGTTGTAAATAATACAGCGACCTCTTAGACTAGTAGCATTGCTTGCTGGCAATATATTTAATAAATGTGATATATTGCTAATAGTTTGGCAACTAGGATGATATTTTTGCTTTGTTATTTTTTTTCAGCTAAAATTTGATCCACTGTATGAAGTTTTGTGTAATAAGAATGTCGAATTTGCTAAATATTTGATATATGAAGGTGCAAAAGTGAATGAGGTAAGTATCAGTATAACAAACAATGCAAGAAAAAAAATGAGGAGAGTTTAGAATCATAATTATTTTGTTTTTATGATTTTTACTTATTAAAAAAAATGATTTTACACCAAAAAGAATAGTTTTACTTTTTTTTAGTAGTAAAAAGTATTCAGCTTTAAGGGAAAAATTATCCCTACTCCTGATTGTTGGTTCTTAATAAAACAGACTAAGCATAAAAGCTACCGCTGTTCAATAGCCATAAATCAATTTAACTGATACAAATCCGGGTCATTTACCTGTGACGTCACTTTTTGTTGCGTTAATATATTCGTGTGACGCACAGTTTATTATTCTATTGTGCTGTATTTGTGTTCTGTCGTAAATTAGTTTTATGTGTTTGTTGTTATTCTGTGGTTTACAAGTTGAAATGTACTGTTATATTATTTATTTATGTATTTCTCTGTCCTGAATGTTCTTGCATTTATTTGTACGGTATTCCTGTCACGTAATGTTGTCATTTAGCGGTATTTTTAGCATTACCATATAAGAAGGAGGTTTGGCTAGCCATAAAACCAGGTTCAACGAACCATTTTTTCTTAAAATGCCCTGTACCAAGTCAGGAATATGGCAGTTGTTATCACATAGTCCGATTCTATGTATGTTGGCGTTTGTTTTTGTAGCAGTTCAGTGTTTCTGTTGTACCGTTTTGTTTCCTCTTATAGTTGATGTGTTTCCCTCAGTTTTGTAAAACTGAAGTTACATGACAAGACATACCACACCACTCAAACGTTTTTTTTTTTTTTATCTTACTGCCTAGCCAACCTGACACGGCTCTCAATTCCACTAAATCTGTGGAGATATTACGTTCGGAACTTCATTAAATAAATCCAAACCCGTTTAAATTGAGTAAAATTTGTTACTTTTTTCAATGCTTACAAGATAAAAATAATACATACAAATAATGTTGTTGCTTGACTGATAATGCATGTAAAGATTTTGAATGGAATGCTTGTGATTCCAGTTTTACCAGTGGCAAAAATATAGAACCTTTGTCATTTGATTTGAACATTTTGGAGACACAAAATGATATTCAATCAAATATACTCCAGAATTGCCACGGGATACTCATGTAAACTAGCCCACTGATTCAAATCGTCTCATGTTTTATTGTATAAGTATTTTAAACGCATGTGCGTTGTTTATCTGATAGTCAGCAAAACAGCAGGACTGATTCAAGGATAATGATGTTGAGATTTTAAAAATTATCTTCTTAATCAATGTATCTGATGTAACTGAATAATAATTTGATTTTAACAGGGTAATCTTAGAGGCATAGCCACTACTAATGATATACCAGCAGAGGACATATTAGTCTTATGTGATATTTTCATAGAAGCTGGATATAGAATTTCTAATACTGTCCAATGGCCTAAAGAAAAAGGAAGATATTCGAATATGGAGGAAGTTAATAAACATATTTATAATCGGCAGCAGGAAATTGTGACTTTACAATCTTTATGTAGAATATGTGTTAGAAATATACTGATTCAAACTACTGATGGCTGCTCTATCAGAAGTGTTGTGTGGAAACTTCCATTGCCAAAAATGTTAAAGAATTATATAATGTTTGAACGGTAATTGTTTGTCAAGTTTCTGATATAAATATAAGAAACTGTGATATGTTCACGGACAGTGGTTCTATTAAATTATGTTACAAAAGAAGTACAATAAAAGTAAGGTCATGGCTTTTTTTAGGTTATCAACTCATAAACAAAGGGTGTTTAGGTAACTATGGTAACCGTAAATTAGATGCAAAATCAAAACTAAGTTAGTATATATATAAATCAAAATTCAAAATGAAAACCAAATCATCAAAACAAAAAAGATGATGCAAATTTAAAATTCAAATAAAACTTAAATAGATAATGAAAGTTGAAAACTCAATTAAAGAATAAATGAAATTATGAAATAATGGTGTGCTGAATTGAACCCTTGCAACACAGATGTCCAAACTAACATGAGAAATTACGTTTGAGGTGGAAATGAAAATTAAATGGATTTATGTTCTAAAAAAAAAAAAACAATAAAGATGTTAATCTAGTTCATCGGTACTGGTTCAGGCTTAAGAATAAGGTCTTCCACTAAACAAGTTCGAAAAAAATTCATTTCATAAAGAACGCTTTGGAACTTGTTAAACCGCCAAAACAGTACCATAAATTGATAGTCAATATAAGATTTAATAACAAGAATCTGACCACTGTACAGAAGCTACTAAGTTAACAGATTCCCGAAGCCAATGAGCTACATCTCCGTTTGGTATACACATTGATAATGTCATAATTAAAGATCTAGTTGTATGAAAATGGATCAATTTCATTATCTGACAAATGAACACCGTCTAAGAATAGGTCTAGATGTCCTCAAATATTTCCGGGTATGTAATACATGCGCCACTGTTTCAGAATAATTAAGCCACCAAATTATCCCTCTGGTTTAGTCCAATGACTTCACCACTGTTTCAGAATAATTAAGCCACCAAATTATCCCTCTAGTTTAGTCCAATGACTTATTTAGAATCTTGTTCTTATATTTCATTCTTTGTACCAGATCTAAAAGAAAATCAATATCGCTTAAAAGTTAGGTGTCTGTTTGTTATTCTCGCCAAGAAATGGTTTCAAATTGCGCCACACTTTACATGTATAGTTTTTACCTATATTATACATGTAACAAGTACTTAATTTAACATATTGCGATATCAACATATCTAGAGGATAATGCGTTTTTTTCCTTCATCAGTATGGGCTGAAATTCGTTCAAAATCCAGAAGAACAAATAACAGACCTGAAACCTTCCATTCTCTTTACAACGAACAATGTAATGCTTCACATTCGTCAATGTTTGTGTTTTATATACTCTCACAAAGCTCCAGGCCAAGGCGTATATTAATATCCGGAGTGCTGGCTCAGAAGCTGCGAGAAATCACAACGACTTGGAAAAAGAAAACTTTGCTCTTAAAAAGTACTTAGGAGTGAGAGGAGAAGTGAGCAGAAAAGAATATGTATTATCTTAAGTTACAAATACAAGCCTGCGTTTAATGTTGAACAGAGACATATTATAGTTTTAACTGTGTATATATGAGTGAACGTTTTACTTTGGCATAATTTTTTAATTAAAATGAAAACTCCAGTCATTTAGTATAGATATATATATAAAGTAAAAATAAATATTTTGATAAAATTGGCCCCAATTGTATTATTGTTTTATTGGCGCAAATGAAACTAATAGTTTTCAAAATGAAGTGGCGCAGAAGTAGCATTGACGCAAATAAATTGTGGCGCAAATGATTTCAGTTGTGGCACAAATAGAAAGCGGCCGCGCTTGGTAACACAGTTCCCTTAATACTGCAGTGATACTGGGTCAAAGAATAAATGTTACGCCCGATTTCCATGATTTTACATGCGTAACACGTCATATAGGTGTTTATCGATTATATTGTTCAACGTAAGAAAAAAATGAAAAACATGATTTTAGAAAATGTCCCAAAAGATGTCAACTGATGGTTTCAGTTATATTAAAATCTGTAGAAAAAATACCAAGTCATCAACAATAAAGATACGATATACAAATTCACAGAGAACAGCCAGTGAGGAAACACATATACAATAAAAGAAAAACATTACAAAATAATCAAAAAGTAAATAATGGTTTATTACGAAAAAATTTAGTGGTACCAAATAAACTCATCATAGATACCAGGATTGAAATTTAGTATTTGCGCCAGACGCCCGTTTCGTCTACAAAAGACTCATAGTGACGCTCGAATCACAAACGGTCAAAAAAGGCCAAATAAAATACGAAGATGAAGAGCATTGAGGACAAAAAAATCCTAAAAGTTTTTTCCAAATATAGCTAAGGTTATCTATTTTTGAGGTAGAAAAGCCTTAGTATTTCAAAAATTTAATGTTTTTGTCAACAGTTAATTTATAATTATGACCATATCAATGATAATTCATGTCAACACAGAAGTGCTGACTACTGGGTTGGTGATACCCCCGGTTAATAAAAACTCCACCAGCAGTGGCATCGACCCATCGGTTGTAAATAGACTCATCATAGATACCAGTATTGAAATTTAGTATTTGCGCCAGACGCGCGTTTCGTCAAGGAATTTTAAAGTATTATATAGTTTCCGATAAGTTAACCATGCAAACGTTTGTTCATCTGAAGTCGGTAGTTGTAGATCTTTTTGAAGTGAAATATTTATCAAAACCAATTTAAATACAACATTTGAATTAAATTCATAACAACTACTTTACATTAAAAATGCCGCTAAATTCAGTTTTTAACCACCTACGTTAGATATTGTTTGGGTATATTTGAGTTTATTTGACTATCTTTGAGGAGTTTTGACTGTGAGTAAACAGACGAACCCGCATAAATTCTTGTCAATTGATGAAGAACGTATGTGTTCACCTTAAGGCGTCTTTTTTCATTGAATTTTATGATGTTGGGTTGCTGTCTCATTAACGTCTATCCTACATCTACTTTCATTCATGTCTTGATCCCCAGGCATTGCATTAATATGGATATATCATTCATAAAACAAGAAATGGCAATTTTGTTTCAGCTAGATGATCGCTTCACATCAGTACTTTATGTTATTATGTTCATGTAAAAAATAAGGAGATGTGGTATGATTGTCAATGAGACAACTATCTACCAAGGTTCAATTTAAGTGGATGTAAGCAATTATAGGCAACCATACAATGAGAAAAAACCCATATCGTATGTTCGGCTATAAAAGGATCCGACATGAAAAGAGGAAAATATAATAAACTAAACTTAAATTGAAAGAAGTAGAACAAATGTAATAATAGAAACTAACAGTATACAGCTCTCTCACAAGAAAAAGCCCATAACTGTAAAATATAAGGGTATTTTGCATTTCGGGCATCCAAAGCATGTAAATGTGTTCTTGCAAAGGGATGAAAGATAGTTCATATAACTTCTACCTGACACTTTTAAACACCCAGTCTAAACTTTTAACTCTAATCGGCCAGGTTGGTAGTATGTTCTGATATCAACTATTCCCAGAAAAGGCGTACAACTCCAGTAAATAAGAACAATGTCTATTTATTCATACACGTCTTTAATTTTGAACAATTACCAACGTCATTTGCAATTAAACATAAAATATTGTAAGCATTAAGCACATTTTAGGACATAGTTATAAGTGATAAATGTACATAGGAACTTATAACCTTCTATCTCCCCTTAAGTAATTGGCCATTAAAGGTGGCAAACACGTATCCACTGTTACTTTGACTAAGATAATATTCACACTAACCTCTGTTAGTTAAAATGCAAAAAGAAAAATCCAAAAGGTCAATGTCATGATTGTTAATCCATAATATATTCTAAATGCCAGGCAGGTGGTCGACTAACACGACTAGATTTACGTTGTGGAGTAAGTTCTGTTGGACTAATGATCAACGGAGGAGTGTTGGTGGTCGGCTGTGTTCCTTGTTCCTCGAGTGGTGTTTCGCTGAATTCCAAACGACGGCGCTCAAGATGTGTTGTTCCTACTCTGGGACTTTCGTATGATGAAAGGCCTGTCTTTGGCGTTGTCGGAATGTGCACTTTCGCTCGATAGACAAATCTTGTGAATAGATGGATCCTGGTCTAGAACTGCCCTAAAAGTCTGAAGTTGCCTGATCAAGTGGATAATGCTTTTCCTGGGTATAGGTTTTTGTGGTTTCATTTAATGTATCCGAAGTAGGTTTTGGTACTTGTTTGGTGTCGAATGTTGATGTGGCAGATACAATCTTACACCAAAGGTCATCCTGTATATTCTTGGTTATTTTGATGCCCTTCACAGGCACATACTTTCTGAGAAACTTTCTGTTGCGTAAAGTCACTCTTCCAGAACCATCAACTTTTACTGCATATTGATCAAATTGGCGGACTTCAATGATGACGCCAGTTTTGTCCAATTTGAGTGGGTAATGCCCTATCTGGCTCTGAATACGCACACAATCACCAGTTGCAAGTGGAAGTAGTCTTTTTGCGTGTTCTGATAAGCGTTCGCCCTGTTTGATGTGGTGGCATCTAACGTTTCCCTCCAAGTATTGTGAGGAGAATATCTTCCTGGCGGAATCGGAATGAAATCCCTGATTGGATGAAAAAAGACGCACATTGCAGGTTATAGTTTTGTGTCTTTGTCAGGTGTATTTGTGTACTGTAGCGTGGCCCGTTGAAATGCATCCGTGTCGAGATCACCTTTAAGACCAGTGTTATCAACAATCATGCGTTTAACGGTTTTTACTCCAACTTCAGCCCTGCAACTGTTATGAGGGAAAGACACTGCAGATAGGCGATGGTGTACATCCCAGTCTTGAAGAAACTGTCTCGTAGCAGTTGAGGTAAATTCAGGCACTCAGGTTAGAAGGTGCTATCCGAATACAATGATTGCATCCGGCTCCTTGTGCTGAAATAGCAAGAGTGATACCTAGCCAAAAGACTGACGACTCTGCTCTAGAAATTATTGCAGTTACTCCTTGTTGGGCTGAGTGTAAAACAGACAAAACTTCCTCTCTGAGACTGGGAGGAATGATTATTCTGTCCTTGTATATTATAACACCATCAAAAGTGTAAAGGTGTTCACGGAATTGGAAGTATGCATGTCGAAATTCAAGTGTACCAGACTCAATCAAGTTTATAAGTTTATTTATATTGTCGTCACTTGCCATAGCGGTACAAACTCTGTCCCAAGTCACATATTTGACTGCAAGCAAATCAAGCGAGAACACGGCTGATAAAATGACACTGTTATCAATTTCAGTAGCATCTGATACTAAATCTGAATGATGTATGAATGATAAAAATGATGTGGCAGGTGGCAACGATATTTTTCTTGATGGCTGCTATGTCATCTGAGAGAATAAGTTTTTCGGGGTCCCCAGTTGAATGAAGTGACACACCGTCAGCGGCATGATGTTTGACGCCTGGTACATGACATGAATCATTCGGAAACGATATCTGAGTGTTTTCTCTTTCAAATATCGAAGGCGTTTATTCGAGATGTCTTCTAAAGGTCTGTCACTGAATAATTTCAGGAGGGGTTTATGGTCAACAGCTATAATACGATCGTTGCATCCCAGTACAAAATACCTCGCTTTGTCCAAAGCGGTGACAACGGCTAGAACTTCGCCTTCTACTAGCGCATAACGGGATTCAGCTGGATGTGTAAATCTACTCCCGACAAACGTTATTCGTCATCCTGTGTAACAACAGAATGGTTAACTTCCTGTACAGGAACAATGTTTCTGAAATAGCCAGAAACCAATACCAGTGTTTGACCAATCTGTAGCAAGACATGTGGGTTTACTTTTGTCAAAGATGCTAACGCCCTCTCCTATTTCGCTTATGAAAAAATTGTTGATGTGTTCATCCCAGAAAAATGGTGTTCCAGGTTTCAATAATTGCCTGAAGGGTAGCATCTTATCAACCGAAGTCGTAGGACACTTGGTTAACGAGACCAAACCATGATCGTACATCCGTGATATTTCTAGGAGTTGGACAATCTAGGATCGCTCTTAGGTATTTCATGCAAGGGCGGACAGTGTTGGACGTGATTTCAAATCCTGTGAATTCTACAACATCTTGACCGGATATGAACTTCTCAGGATTAAGAATAATGCCATGACGACCACAAATATCGAGGCATTGTGCAGCTTGAAAAAAGCTTTCCTCAATTGAATCAGCCCATAGGAGGACGTCATCTACACAATTGGTTTTGTTCGGAATATCGGCAATTCTTTTGTATGTCTTTGGTCACATAAATCTCCATGAACTTAATTAACTTTTATTCACTGAAACTACAAATTTAAAGCACAGGAACAATATCCATGATATCAATGAAAATCATACAGGTTAGTACCTTTTTGCTGAAATATACAATTTTTAAAATGTTTGTTATAAACGAATGGCCCACTCATTTGACAACATGACCCATTAATTCTAAAAATGGCTCTGATTTAATTTTTGGGGGGCCCTGGGCCCGTAGAAAAAAATCCTTCCAGATCACTCCCCCCCCCCCATATGTATATGAAGTTGGCGGCCTGTTCGTTATTAGTTATTCAAATACAACGGGCTGCTAGCAGTCGGATCGATATTCTATTTTGTTTTAATTGAAAGTAACACAAATTTAGATATTCGATCATATTAAAAACATTTT